TGCCACCATGAGGGGTGGACAGTCCTCTACTTCGGGGCAGCAGACTGCCAAACAACAGGGTGTGGCTCTTCTTTTGAACAAAAGAATGAAAGGGGCGTGGGAGCATGGCGGTGAGGTGTGGGAAGCTGTAAGTCCCAGGCTACTTTGGGCTCGCCTTCCCATCAACCGGAGGCGAGGAATGGTGGTCGTGGTTACTTTTGCCCCCACCGAAGACGAACATCCGTGGAGGGATGCAGGCAAAGCCGATGAGTCAGATGCCTTCTATGACCTCCTGTCACAGGTGCTGGCTAAAGTGGCCCCTCGGGATAGAGTCATCATGTTGGGTGACTTCAATGCCCGAGTTGGTCATGATACTGGCACCTGGTCAGGAGTGATTGGAGGGCATGGGCCAGATCAGCTCAATAACAACGGTAGGAGGCTGCTAGATTTTTGTGCAGCCCATGAGCTTGTAATTACCAACGCGCTGTTCCGGCATCGGCGCATCCACACAACACCATGGATGCATGCCGGGTCCAAGCAAGAACATATGCTGGACTACATAGTGATGGACCAGCGGATGCGAGCCCATGTCCTTGACACCAGGACCTACCGTGGAGCTGATCTGCCCTCTGACCATCGACTAGTCATCTGAAAGATGCGCCTGCCATTCTTCCACTCCGGTGGTGGGTGTACACCCAGGACCCCATTCCAACCTAAAGTGGCCTGGTCTCAGTTATCTGATGAAAGTTGTAAGCGAGAATTTCATCATCGCTTGCGGCTGGGATTGGCATCGTCCCCGACTCCTCCTGATGTCGAGGGTAAATGGGCGAGGTTTAGGACTGTGACTCATGCAGCTGCAATGGCTGCTTTGGGTACGCGGTCCAGACCTCCCCAGAGACCCTGGCTGACAAAGGAAGTGTTCAGGATGGTTGAGAGAAAGCGACAGGCCCACTGTCATCGGCTACAGAATCCCACGTCAGAGAATGAGGAGGCTTACCGCAGCCTTCGCTCGGAGGTTCGGAGAGCCGTGAGGCGCTGCAAGGATGGGTGGTGGTCGCGGGTTGCTGAAGAGATGGAGTCTGCCTCAGTGGCCCGTGATCACAAATCTCTATTTAACTCCATCAAAAAAGTAATCTGCAGCGCCACACCTATTACCATCATTAGGAGAAAAAACGGTGACCCAATCTCCGACCCCCAGGAACAGGTTTGCAGATTTGCTGAGCATTTCTGTGAGGTCCTGGGGGAGAGAAAATCCCTCAGCCAAAAAAATATCGTGGCACAAAGTGAGGATGACCCTGCTGAGGCTGCGGTGCCTCAAATATTGGAAGAAGTCACCCCTGTGAGTGGCTGCCTGAGGTGCCATCTGTTGAGGAAGTGCTGAAGGCGATCCGGAGTGTGAGACCAGGAAAGGCAGCGGGCAGAGATGATCTCCCAAGCGAAATGCTGAGGGAGGGCGGCGTTTGTGCACAAGCTGCCCTATATGACATCATAACAACAGTCTGGACCACTGGACGGGTTCCGCAGGATTGGAAGGATGCCCTGGTGGTCCCCCTTTTTAAGAAGGGGGACCGCACAGACTGTAACAACTACAGGGGCATCTCACTCCTCAGTGTGCCGGGAAAGGTCCTGGCAAGGATTATTCAACATCGCCTTGCCAGGCAAGCTGAGGAGAGGCTTGCGGAGCCCCAATGCGGTTTCAGGAAAGGGCGGTCCTGCACAGATGCCATATTTTCTGCCCGTCTGCTACAGCAGAGGTGTAGGGAATTCCAACAAGACCTACATCTCTGCTTTATTGACCTGGCCAAGGCCTATGATACCATCAGTAGGCCTGGGCTCTGGGTTGTTCTTCGTGCTTTTGGAGTACCTGACCCTCTGCTCATGATCATTAAGGACCTTCATGATGGTTAGCGGGCCCGGGTAAAACTACGTGGCCGGGAGTCAGAGCCATTCCCTGTTAACCTTGGGGTGCGACAGGGATGTCCTCTGGCTCCCACATTATTTAACATCTATTTTGACCACGTAGTCCGTTAAGCCTTCAATAGCTGCACCGGGGGAATCTCCATATGGTACAGATATAATGGGAGGCTGATCGACGCCCGGGTGCGGTCAAGGGATGGCTCCCTATTGCTCAACCACGTTATGTATGCTGATGATTTGGTAATAGCTGCACATTCGGAGGAGGAGTTAGAGACGATGCTGCTGAGACTGGAGCATGCCACTAAGAGGTGGGGCCTTACCATCAGCCCCACCAAAACTAAGCACCTGCCTGGGTATTTTGTACCATCGGACACTCCACCCCCACAACTCCCAATCGGTGATGGGGCAGTTGTGGAGAGAGTGGAGAGTTTCCCATACCTGGGCAGTGTGCTTATGACTAGCTCCAGTTTAACAGCAGAGGTCTCACTCCGAATCAGTCGAGCGGCAATATATTTTCATCGGTTGTGTAACGCTGTGTGGAAGCTACCTGGTCTGTCACTCCGCACTAAGCTTCAGGTCTTCTCGGCCACGGTCATTCCCTCCCTTCTCTACCCTTGCGAAACGTGGACCCCCCTAATGGAACATCTTCGCCGGTTAGAAACATTTAGGCTGGCCTGCCTACGATCCATCCTGGGTTTAACCAGACTGGATTGTGCGAGGAGCTCAAAAATCCTTGAAAGATCTGGGCAAGGTCCCATCGGTGAGCTCCTCCGGCGGGGAAGGCTGCGATGGCTGGGTCATGTAGCCTGCATGCCCAGCCACCGCATGCCGAAACAGCTTTTGTTCGTCCGCATTGAGGGGGCTAAGCGGGCGCGGCACGGGCTAGAGAAGAGATGGAGTGATGTGGTACAGGAGGACGTGGAGCTGAGTGGACTTGCCGATGACTGGTACCAGCGGTGTCAAGATCGGCCTCTGTGGAGGAGGCTCGTGAAGGATGCTACTGGGCAGTTGGAGGTAATCGCCCTCCAACAACAACGGAGGGCGGAGGAGCGACGCTCAGAACAACGAGCGGAGCGCCGGGTGGCTAAAGCACAGCAGGTTGGCACAGTAGGGGGCACAGGTGGTGCATCAGCCAGTCATCTCAGTTATTTCAGTCAGTCGACCCGTGGCACCTGGGTCTGCCCCGTGACCTCCTGCCAGCGGGCGTTCGACACTTCACGTGGCCTCAGGGTGCACAAAGCCTGGCACAAGCGTCGTGGTGACGTCACCGCCACTTAGTGGTGAATGGCGGTTGTTGTTGTTGTGTGTGTATGTATGTATGTGTGTGTATTTGTGTGTATGTATGTGTGTGTGTATGTGTGTGTGTGTAGGTGGGAGCGCCTCACAGGCAGGATGTGGTCGAACTTCCTCAGGGCGGCCTCCCCGCAGTCCCAGAAGTGGAGTCGGAAGAGCAGCAGCTTGTCACAAGGCGTCAGCCGAACCGGCCAGTCCACCACCGTGGTCTGTATCCCTGTGAGGACACGCACACACAACAAACAAACAAAGATCCCCCATATAGCCTTAACAGACTGTAGGGGCAAGTGCTGTTAGCGAGCACCTATGAAGGCCGGAACGGTACACGAGGGGGTGGGTGGCCAGCACCACGCCCGACCACCTTTGTCTCCCTAGTGGCGATGTTTACACACCGCACCAGGTACTCATTTGAGGCTGAGTCGACCTAGGGGAGGCCCGGGACTGGTTCAGATAATCGTCACTGGTGTTGGCCGTGAGCGGGAATCGAACCCGGCTCGCCAGGTTCATAGCGCAGTGCGCTAACCGCTACACACACACACAGTGTGACACACACACACACACACAGACAGTGTGACACACACAGTGTGACACACACACACACATACACACACACACAGACACACACACAGTGTGACACACACACAGACACACACAGACACACATACACACACATACACACACACACATAGACACACACACACACATAGACACACACACATAGACACACACACATAGACACACACACATAGACACACACACATAGACACAGACACACACATAGACACAGACACACATACATAGGCACACACACACACATACACACACACACAACAACAACCGCCATTCGCCACTAAGTGGCGGTGACGTCACCACGACGCTTGTGTCAGGCCATGTGCACCTTGAGGCCACGTGAAGTGTCGAACGCCCGCTGGCAGGAGGTCACGGGGCAGACCCAGGTGCCACGGGTCGACTGACTGAAATAACTGAGATGACTGGCTGATGCACCACCTGTGCCCCCTACTGTGCCAACCTGCTGGGCCTTAGCCACCCGGCGGTTCGCTCGTTATTGTGAGCGTCGCTCCTCCGCCCTCCGTTGTTGTTGGAGGGCGACTGCCTCCAACTGCCCAGTAGCGTCCTTCACGAGCCTCCTCCACAGAGGCCGATCTTGACACCGCTGGTACCAGTTATCGGCAAGTCCACTCAGCTCCACGTCCTCCTGTACCACATCTCTCCATCTCTTCTCCAGCCCGTGCCGCGCCCGTTTAGCCCCCTCGATCCGGCCGAACAAAAGCTGTTTCCGCATGCGGTGGCTGGGCATGCGGGCTACATGACCCAGCCATCGCAGCCTTGCCAGCCGGAGGAGCTCACCGATGGGACCTTGCCCAGATCTTTCAAGGATTTGTGAGCTCCTCACACAATCCAGTCTGGTTTAACCCAAGATGGATCGTAGGCAGGTCAGCCTAAATGTTTCTAACAGGTGAAGATGTTCCATTAGGGGGGTCCACGTTTCGCAAGCGTAGAGGAGGGAGGGAATGACCGTGGCCGAGAAGACCTGAAGCTTAGTGCGGAGCGGCAGACCAGGTAGCTTCCACACAGAGTTACGCAACCGATGAAAAGATATTGCCGCTCGACTGATTCGGAGTGAGACTTCTGCTGTTAAACTGGAGCCGGTCATAAGCACACTGTCCAGGTATGGGAAACTCTCCACTCTCTCCACAACTGCCCCATCACCGATCGGGAGTTGTGGGGGTGGAGTGTCCGATGGTACATAATACCCAGGCAGGTGCTTAGTTTTGGTGGGGCTGATGGTAAGACCCCATCTCTTAGTGGCACGCTCCAGTCTCAGCAGCAGCGTCTCCAACTCCTCCTCTGAATGAGCAGCTTTACCAAATCATCGGCATACATAACGTGGTTGAGCAATAGGGAGCCATCCCTTGACCGCACCTGGGCATCGATCAGCCTCCCATTATATCTGTACCATATGGAGATTCCCCCGGTACAGCTATTGAAGGCTTCACGAACTACGTGGTTGAAATAGATGTTAAATAATGTGGGAGCCAGAGGACATCCCTGTCGCACCCCAAGGTGTACAGGGAAAGGCTCGGACTCCCGGCCACGTAGTTTTATCCGGGCCCGCTCACCATCATGAAGGTCCTTAATGATCGTGAGCAGAGGGTCAGGTACTCAAAAAGCACAAAGAACAACCCAGAGCCCAGGCCTACTGATGGTATCATAGGCCTTGACCAGGTCAATAAAGCAGAGATGTAGGTCTTGCTGAAATTCTCTACACCTCTGCTGTAGCAGACAGACAGAAAATATGGCATCTGTGCAGGACCGCCCTTTCCTGAAACTGCATTGGGGCTCCGCAAGCCTCTCCTCAGCGTGCCTGGCAAGGCGATGTTGCCAGGACCTTTCCCGGCACACTGAGGAGTGAGATGCCCCTTTAGTTGTTACAGTCTGTGCGGTCCCCCTTCTTAAAGAGGGGGACCACCAGGGCATCCTTCCAATCCTGCGGAACCCGTCCAGTGGTCCAGACTGTTGTTATGATGTCATATAGGGCAGTCTGTGCACAAACTCCACCCTCCCTCAGCATTTCGCTTGGGAGATCATCTCTGCCCGCTGCCTTTCCTGGTCTCAGACTCCGGATCACCCTCAGTACTTCCTCAACAGATGGCACTTCAGCCAGCCACTCACAGGGGGTGACTTCTTCCAATATTTGAGGCACCGCAGCCTCAGCAGGGTCATACTCATTTTATGCCACGATGTTTTCCTGGCTGAGGAATTTTTCCTCCCCCAGGACCTCACAGAAATGCTCAGCAAATCTGCAAACCTGTTCCTGGGGGTCGGAGATTGGATCACCGTTTTTTCCACTAATGATGGTAATAGGTGTGGCGCTGCAGGTTACTTTTTTGATGGAGTTAAATAGAGATTTGTGAGCACGGGCCACTGAGGCAGACTCCATCTCCTCAGCAACCCGCGACCACCACCCATCCTTGCAGCGCATCACGGCTCTCCGAACCTCCGAGCGAAGGTTGCGGTAATCCTCCTCATTCTCTGACGTGGGATTCTGTAGCCGATGACAGTGGGCCTGTCGCTTTTTCTCAACCATCCTGAACACCTCCTCTGTCAGCCAGGGTCTCTGGGGAGGTCCTGACCGCGTACCCAAAGCAGACATTGCACCCGCATGAGTCACAGTTCTAAACCTCGCCCATTTACCCTCGACATCAGGAGGAGTGGGGAACGATGCCAACCGCAGCCGCAGGCGATGATGGTTGGAATGGGGTCCTGGGTGTACACCCAGCGAAAGAATGGCAGATGACTAGTCGATGGTCAGAGGGCAGATCAGCTCCACGGCATGTCCTGGTGTCAAGGACATGTGCTCGCATCCGCTGGTCCGTCACTATGTAGTCCAGCAGATGTTCTTGCTTGGACCCGGCATGCATCCATGATGTTGTGTGAATGCGCCGAGCGCGTTGGTAATTAGAAGCCCATGGGCTGCACAAAAATCTAGCAGCCTCCTACCGTTGTTATTGAGCTGATCTGGCCCATGCCCTCCAATCACTCCAGACCAGGTGCCAGTATCATGACCAACTCGGGCATTGAAGTCACCCAACATGATGACTCTGGGGCCACTTTAGCCAGCACCTGTGACAGGAGGTCATAGAAGGCATCTGACTCATCGGCTTTGCCTGCATCCCTCCACGGATGTTCATCTTCGGTGGGGGCAAAAGTAACCACAACCACCACTCCTCGCCTCCGGTTGATGGGAAGGCGAGCCCAAAGTAGCCTGGGGCTTACAGCTTCCCACACCTCACTGCCACGCTCCCACACCCCCTTCATTCTTTTGTTCAAAAGAAGACCCACACCCTGTTGTTTGGCAGTCTGCTGCCCCAAGTAGAGGACTGTCCACCCCTCATGGTGGCAGGAGCCAGAGCCGGTCCACCGGACCTCCTGAATGCCACATAGATCCAGGCGGTACCGGTCCAGCTCCCGACAGAGGAGTGGCAGCCTCTCCTCTGTAGTGAGCGTTCGAACATTCCACGTGGCCACCCGTAGTGGCTTTTCGTTGTTTCTGGAGTAGCCCCGAGGGTAGGTATTCAATCTCCTGGCTCCGCCAATTGGGGTTTGGCCAGGAGACGTCATAGACGCCTGGCCCCCCGGGGCCTTCGGCACAAGCTTATTAGTTACATATTTCAGTTTAATTCATGGTTTCGTGGTAATTAATTGAAGGTGGAGGGGTTACCAGCCCCTCGCACCCGTCCAGAGCCCCCGTTTAGCCCCTGTGGTGGACACATATGCCATGAGGGGAGGAGCCAATCAAAATTGGATCTCCCCCCACAGCACTGTCCACGACAGAGTTGCCCGTCCAGCACCGCGAGGAGGTAGGGGGTTGTTTTGCCGGACACACACACACAGTGACACACACAGTGACACACACACAGTGACACACACACAGACAGACACACACACAGGGCTCATCAGCTGTACTGGCCAGCGTACACAGACATGGGGCTCATCGGCCGCACCGGGAGTCTCGTGGTAGCCACCGCCGCCGCCGCAGGATGAGGAGGATGAGGATGAGGAGGCGTGTGGCGGCAGTGCGGTGAGCCCGGCGAGCCTCGCGATGGCGGCTGTCTTGCCGACGCCGGCGCGTCCCGACACGAACACCTTGTAGCTCAGCGTCTGCATCGACTCCCTGAGGGGGGGGGCCTCCAGGATGCCTGGGGGGGGGGGGTGGAGGAGGCCGTCATGATGATGAATGGACGATGGTCGCTGTGCTGCGATGGGGGTTCAAGCGAGGGTGGAAACTCATTGTCTTCTTGCACCCTTTCAGTTAACTCACTCTGTTGTCGTCTTCTTTGGTTCTTTCGGTAAAGTCACGTAGAATGAGAATAAAATAATGAATTGATAAAATAAAATAACACAATCTAACACAATCCACGTGGCGGTGACTTTACCGAAAGAACCAAAGAAGATGAATCCTTGCGGTCACGAAAGCTTTAAATCGAAAAATTCTGTTGTCGTTGTTGAAACCTCAAATCTTGTAACTCAACTTTAACCCGCTTGCCAATGTGGTATCGACTGCCAACTTGGTATACTAATGTCACACCGATGACAATACTAGATTCTATCATTAAAAATAAAAATTATAATTTTTAAACAATCTTTTACACGCTTTTTATTAACTCACTCTGTCTGTTGTTGTTGTATCCTCAAATCTTGTAACTCAACTTTAACCCGCTTGCCAATGTTGTATCGACTGCCAACTTGGTATACTTATGTCACACCAATGACAATACTAGATTCTATCAGAAATTTTTTAAAAACCGTATATTTTAATACATTATTTTTTACATCTTATGTTTCGGCTTGGCTCTAATTGTCTACGGTAAACTGATGTTGGCTGTAAATCAACACGGTCCCGTTACGTTACGGCAAACTTCGGGGCCACTTCCTGGAGTGGTGGTGGAGTTCTTCCATTGCAAGTACGGCACATTTCATTAAAGCGTGTTTAAGTGTTTAAAAAAAACACTACTCATTTTAACCGTACTTTCTTTTTACTTTAGCACACGTGTGTGTGTGTGTGTGTGCGTGCGCGCGCGTGCACGGTAGTGTCGTGCGTGGCAGTGCCGTGTAAAGCAGCGGAGTGTGTAGCGCGGTGTCGCGTAGTATGCAGCGTTTCGTGTCGTGCGTACCGTAGCACATGTAACACGTATAGGCAGAGGCAGCGCTCCGTGCTTTCGAGGTCAGCTGCCGGCTAGCGCAGCGCCTCATGCGGCCGAGCAGGCCAATCCCCGAGCGGGCAACCTTCTGCCACAGCCACCGCAAGCGCAGTTCGCGGCAGTTGCAGAGGTGCCTTGGGGGTCGTCCTCCGCGCTTTCTCCCTCCTTGCCCTCTCCCCCCCTCACCACCACCACCACCCGCACCTCGCTCCTCCCGAGGCCCATCCTCACCGCCCGCTGTCGGCGGCCTTCGGCCGCTCGCTCCCAGTCCCCCCCGGGGGGGTTGATGTCCAAAGCCATCCGGCCCCTCGCCCGCCGCCCAGAGGAGAGGGCCGAGGGCGGCGCGGGGTTTGTGATGCGGGGGCCGCGGCGCGGGCGGGGCTCCGGTTAATCGGCGACCGGCAACGCCGCGGCGGGCCGAGGCAGGAGGGCCCCCGAGGGTCGTGGTCGTCGCCGGCCATCGCGGTGAAGTTCCCCCCCCCCCCACATCGGCAGCGAGCCCCTCGAGCGTCGGGGATTTCCCACCCCCAGCGGGCGTCGGGGAGCTCCCCGTCGAGCCGGCCGAGGCTTCCTGAGGGGCATTTGGAGGGCAAACGCCCGGTAGGTTCGCCCGGCCGGATGCGGAGAGCAATCCCGCGGAGAGGATCCGTGGCGAGGAGGAGAGGCGCCTTGAATGGCAAAGGCCGACGGCGTGCAGCAGCTTTGCCTTGCCAGCAGAAGGTGCAGTCCCTCTCTCTCTCTCTTTATCTCGCTCTCTCTCTCTCCCTCTCTCTCCCTCTCTCGCTCTCTCTTTATCTCGCTCTCTCTCTCCCTCTCTCTCTCTCCCTCTCTCGCTCTCTCTTTATCTCGCTCTCTCTCTCGCTCTCTCGCTCTCTCCCTCTCGCTCTCTCTCCCTCTCTCTCTCTCCCTCTCTCGCTCTTTCGCTCTCCCTCCCTCTCTCGCTCTCTCTGTATCTCGCTCTCTCTCTCTCCCTCTCCCTCTCTCTCCCTCTCTCGCTGTCTCTCTCCCTCTCTCGCTCCCTCTCCCTCTCTCGCTCCCTCTCTTGCTCTCTCCTTATCTCGCTCTCTCTCTCCCTCTTTCGCTCTCCCTCTCTCTCCCTCTCTCGCTCCCTCTCTTGCTCTCTTTATCTCGCTCTCTCTCCCTCTCTCTCCCTCTCTCTCTCCCTCTCGCTCTCTCTCGGAGAGCCTCGCCTCCCGCAGTGCTGCGATGGCCACCTGCAGAAATTCGTGTTCCATGGCCAGCCTTCGGTAAAGTCCGTGTAGAGAGAGAGAAAAAAATATATATAGCGCGTAAAATAGTAAAGTGACTGAGAATATCACGGTCGCAACACAAGCGGTCGTCATCAGGAACAGGGAGGTGAGCCTCTGAGGGCAAGCTGTTTATAAAGGTTTAGAGATGGGCGGGGCAGCTAATGTTAATGTGGGAGAGGTCTCCGTCACCTGCAGTAGGTCTACACCAATCAGAGAGCTGTTTATAAAGGTCTAGAGATGGGGGCGGAGCAGCTCATGTTAATGTAGGAGAGGGCTCCTACACCGGCAGTAGGTCTACACCAATCAGAGAGCTGTTTATAAAGGTTTAGAGATGGGGGCGGGGCAGCTAATGTTAATGTGGGAGAGGGCTCCAACACCGGCCATAGGTCTACACCAATCAGAGAGCTGTTTATAAAGGTCTAGAGATGGGGGTGGGGCAGCTAATGTTAATGTGGGAGAGGGCTCCGTCACCTGCAGTAGGTCTACACCAATCAGAGAGCTGTTTATAAAGGTTTAGAGATGGGGGCGTGGCAGCTAATGTTAATGTAGGAGAGGGCTCCTACACCGGCAGTAGGTCTACACCAATCAGAGAGCTGTTTATAAAGGTTTAGAGATGGGGGCGTGGCAGCTCATGTTAATGTGAGAGAGGGCACCGACACCGGCAGTAGGTCTACACCAATCAGAGAGCTGTTTATAAAGGTTTAGAGATGGGGGCGTGGCAGCTTATGTTAATGTGGGAGAGGTCTCCGTCACCTGCAGTAGGTCTACACCAATCAGAGAGCTGTTTATAAAGGTTCAGAGATGGGCGGGGCAGCTAATGTTAATGAAGAAGAGGGCTCCGATACTGGCAGTAGGTCTGCACCAATCAGAGACCTGTTTATAAAGGTTTAGAGATGGGCGGGGCACCTAATGTTAATGTGGGAGAGGGCTCCGTCACCGGCAGTAGGTCTACACCAATCAGAGAGCTGTTTATAAAGGTTTAGAGGTTGGCGGGGCAGCTAATGTTAATGTAGGTGAAGGCTCGGATACCGGCGGTAGGTCTACACCAATCAGAGAGCTGCACACATCTCAGGAGGGATTTTGTCCCACTCCTCGTTGCAGATCTTCTCCAAGTCATTAAGGTTTCGAGGCTGACGTTTGGCAACTCGAACCTTCAGCTCCCTCCACAGATTCTCTATGGGATTAAGGTCTGGAGACTGGCTAGGCCACTCCAGGACCTTGATGTGCTTCTTCTTCTTGAGCCGCTCCTTTGTTGCCTTGGCTGTGTGTTTTGGGTCATTGTCATGCTGGAATACCCATCCACGACCCATTTTCAATGCCCTGGCCGAGAGAAGGAGGTTCTCACCCAAGATTTGACGATACATGGCCCCGTCCATCGTCCCTTTGATGCGGTGAAGTTGTCCTGTCCCCTTAGCAGGAAAACACCCCCAAAGCATAATGTTTCCACCTCCGTGTTTGACGGTGGGGATGGTGTTCTTGGGGTCATAGGCAGCATTCCTCCTCCTCAAAACATGGCGAGTTGAGTTGATGCCAAAGAGCTCCATTTTGGTCTCATCTGACCACAACACTTTCACCCAGGTGTCCTCTGAATCATTCAGATGTTCATTGGCAAACTTCAGACGGGCATGTATATGTGCTTTCTTGAGCAGGGGGTCCTTGCGGGCGCTGCAGGATTTCAGTCCTTCACGGCGTATTGTGTTACCAACGGTTTTCTTGGTGACCATGGTCCCAGCTGCCTTGAGATCATTGGCAAGATCCTCCTGTGTAGTTCTGGGCTGATTCCTCACCGTTCTCATGATCATTGCAACTCCACGAGGTGAGATCTTGCATGGAGCCCCAGGCCGAGGGAGATTGACAGTTCTTTTGTGTTTCTTCCATTTGCGAATAATCGCACCAACTGTTGTCACCTTCTCACCAAGCTGCTTGGCAATGGTCTTGTATCCCATTCCAGCCTTATGTAGGTCTACAATCTTGTCCCTGACATCCTTGGAGAGCTCTTTGGTCTTGGCCATGGTGGAGAGTTTGGAATCTGATTGATTGATTGCTTCTGTGGACAGGTGCCTTTTATACAGGTAACAAGCTGAGATTAGGAGCACTCCCTTTAAGAGTGTGCTCTTAATCTCAGCTCGTTACCTGTATAAAAGACACCTGGGAGCCAGAAATCTTTCTGATTGAGAAGGGGTCAAAGACTTATTTCCCTCATTAAAATGCAAATCAATTTATAACATTTTTGACATGCGTTTTTCTGGATTTTGTTGTTGTTATTCTGTCTCTCACTGTTCAAATAAACCTACCATTAAAATTATAGACTGATCATTTCTTTGTCAGTGGGCAAACGTACAAAATCAGCAGGGGATCAAATACTTTTTTCCCTCACTGTATATAGTGTAGTGTATATAGTGTAGTGTATAGTGTAGTGTATAGTATTGTATAGTGTAGTGTGTAGTGTATAGCGTAGTGTGTAGCAGTGTATAGTGTAGAATATAGTGTAGTGTAGTGTATAGTGTAGTGTGTAGTGAGTAGTAGTCTATAGTGCAGTGTAAAGTGTAGTGTGTAGTAGTGTATAGTGTAGTGTATAGTGTAGTGTGTAGTGTATAGTGTAGTGTATAGTAGTGTATAGTGTAGTGTAAAGTGTAGTGTATAGTAGTGTATAGTGTAGTGTATAGTGTAGTTTATCATGTAGTGTATAGTGCAGTGTGTAGTGTATAGTGTAGTGTATTGTGTAGTGTCTAGTAGTGTACAGTGTAGTGTATAGTGTAGTGTATTGTGTAGTGTCTAGTAGTGTACAGTGTAGTGTATAGTGTAGTGTATAGTCGTGTATAGTGTAGCGTATAGTGTATAATGTAGTGTATAGTGCAGTGTGTATAGTGTATAGTAGTGTATAGTGTAGTGTATAGTGTAGTTTATCATGTAGTGTATAGTGCAGTGTGTAGTGTATAGTGTAGTGTATTGTGTAGTGTCTAGTAGTGTACAATGTAGTGTATAGTGTAGTGTATAGTAGTGTATAGTGTAGTGTATAGTGTAGTGTGTAGTGTATAGTGCAGTGTATAGTGTAGTGTATAGTGTAGTGTGTATAGTGTATAGTAGTGTATAGTGTAGTGCATAGTGTAGTTTATCATGTAGTGTATAGTGCAGTGTATAGTGTATAGTCTAGTGTATTGTGTAGTGTCTAGTAGTGTACAGTGTAGTGTATTGTGTAGTGTCTAGTAGTGTACAGTGTAGTGTATAGTGTAGTGTATAGAAGTGTATAGTGTAGTGTATAGTGTAGTGTGTAGTGTATAGTGCAGTGTATAGTGTAGTGTATAGTGCAGTGTGTATAGTGTAGTGTGTATAGTGTAGTGTATAGTGTAGTGTATAGTGTAGTGTATAGTGCAGTGTATAGTGCAGTGTATAGTGTAGTGTATAGTGTAGTGTATAGTAGTGTATAGTGTAGTGTATAGCGTAGTGTATAGTGTAGTGTATAGTATAGTGTATAGTGTAGTGTATAGTGTAAATGTTCTGATTCTGCGTGATGATGGGTGGGACGAGTGGTCTCGCTGGGTACCAGGTAGCGTGAAGCGACCTCCATGCCAGGCACTCCGTGCGCTGAGGATGGAGCCGATGGTGGAGCCGATGGTGGTGGTGACGGTGGAGGTGACGGTGGTGGTGATGGCATCGCTGCCAGTTCCCGGGGGATTCGACCAATCGCGTAACATCGGGAGCATCGCTGTCACTACCACTACTACTACACTACTATTACCACCACACTACTATACCACACTACCACCACTACTACTACACTACTACACCACACTACCACCACTACTACACTACCACTACTACTACACTACCACACTACTACTACCACTACTACAACTACTACACTACTACACCACACTACCACCACCACCACTACTACTACTACACTACCACTACTACTACACTACCACTACTACACTACTACTACACTACCACTACTACTACACTACCACTACTACTACACCACACACTACCACTGTGTGGTGTAGTAGTGTACTGAGACACACACAGACACTGAGACACAGAGACACTGAGACACAGAGACACTGAGACACACTGAGACACTGAGACACACAGAGACACACACAGAGACACACACACAGAGACACTGAGACACACAGAGACACAGACACACAGAGACACAGACACACAGAGACACACACACAGAGACACTGAGACACACAGAGACACTGAGACACACAGAGACACACAGAGACACACACACAGACACTGAGACACACAGAGACACACACACAGAGACACTGAGACACACAGAGACACAGACACACAGAGACACACACACAGAGACACACACACAGAGACACTGAGACACACAGAGACACAGACACTGAGACACACAGACACACTGAGACACACACAGAGAGACACTGAGACACACAGACACACACAGAGACACACAGACACACTGAGACACAAACACTGAGACACTGAGGCACACTGAGACAGGGAGCAGGGTGCTGATCACGGCCCAGCCCCAGCTGCTAGGGGGACAA